GGGGGGAGGTGCTAAGAGGCATTGCTCTTCAGGTGTTGGGTTTGCAGCTGCTTCACATGATACTCATAGATTTTCAGTGCAGGGCCTAGCTTTATCGACAGCCCCGTCAGGACGTCGTTTCGGGTCATCAGCAGCAGAGACTTGCCATCGATTTCCTGTCAGGCGGAGAGAGACATTTTTGACTGACATCCTAGTTTGCTTTAATCATGTGATGAGAATTTTGAGCAGGAAGAGCCACCCAACCTGATCTTGGAAAGCCGTCGCTTGCTCCTCGAACCCTGTTGCTTTGAAGTAGTTGACAACGTCGGCGACCCCCCAGTTTGCAGGGTCCGGCAGCTGTCCATTCTCCACTGGGCTGTGAGGTCACAGTGAAGGTATTCATATTAGTGTGCAAGCATTTTCAACTGTAACAGTTCCTCCAAATACTCAAAAACAATAAACTATTTATTATACTTATTGAAAATTATACCTTTTTGTGTCAACAGAGCCATTTGCCTTGTCTTCCATGCCGGCTGTCAACAAAAATGGAGAAGATATAAAAACAATAGCAATCATCAAATCAAAAGATGCATTATAATATGCACACACTACAATGCAAAGTCAAACATTCATCACAAATTCTCCTTAAATGGTGTCAAAATGTTTTTCCGATAGGAAAATAAAATGAAAAGGATTTTTTTTTTTAATAAAAATAATCTAAAATCAAAGATAGCGAAGAGCAATTCAAAGCTGTAGAATAAACTAGATTTAGGATCAAACTAATATTTTTTTCGTAAATTGAATTTGGTTACAACCCTGAAAAAAAATTCACTATAGTCAATTTTCAATAATTTCCAACTATTAAGCGAAAAATAATTATAACATTAAACAGGGATTAAAAATTAAATCATTGTCAATCAATAGTAACAGCCCTACAAAACAGGCAATACAACACAAATACAAAATAACATGTCTATAGATGAATCTACATTTTTAGAGGGAGGCTCATTTAAACGGTACTGCTTGATTAAGATACCAAAGCGTAGGAGGAGGTAAGGTATCAATCAATGTATACATCTTATTTCAATACAAGCTGCTGTTACTCTCAAACAGAAACCATTAGGTGACACTGCTGGGGATTAAGGAAACGTGTTCTCATTGAGCCGATGTGGTTTTAAGTTAAAGCCCTAATGCATAATGCACCAGTCTCTTACAATCTGTTAGGTTGCAGTAATTTCTCATCAGATGTCTTCTCTCGCAGAGTTTAGTGGATTGGCAGCTCAAACACCATCTTTGTTTCTCTTTCGCAGTCTGCCATTCACTAGGTCTCTTCTCTGCAATACAATTAAAATAAAACAGTAAAAAAAACACACGGCACGAGACCAAAACAAAGCTAGCACTGTGTCGATGACTGACATTAGGGAGGGATGCAGTGCTTGGAAAATAAGAAGAAGCTCACGATTAGCTGCAATAAAAATAACGTTACATATAACATACAATTGCCTTAATTGACACGTATATAAATCAAGCAGAAAAGGCTATTCAATTGTCAGAGTTGAGGAACAGTATACAAAAAACGTCTGGATAAAAGACGATATTATTTAATCGCTGCCTCTTCGTATTTCGTATTAAGCTAACAGTTATAGTTAGCTGGGTTTGCTAATACAACACAGAACAGTTACCTTATTTAGGATGATTCCTCTTTGACAAAAACACTGCGTCCGAGCGAGACACGTTCTAAGGAGGACACAAACGTTTTCTATTCACGGGGATATTTTACAAATAAATAAACGGCGATATTCATTTGATAAAATCTAGATGTAATCAACTAAAGGCAACTAGCCCCTCTTCATTGGTTTAGCTTCCTTCGCCCACGACAGCAGAGAATCATGGGAAGTGAAGTTCTTTTTTGTTTCAACGCCAGCGTTTGTATTTGAGCCTGATCAAACTCCTGCTGACTTATTACAATGTACAGTCTATGCTTACTACACATAAACACTGGGGAAAAAAGTATTCAGATTCTGTTCTTGAAAAAATACCAATACCACACTGTAAAAATACTCAATTTGAAGTAAAAGTACTGCATCAAGTACAAGTATTCAAGTACGACGAGGAAAATGTAAGTAAAAGGACTCTCAACAACAACTCTAAAAATACATTACATTATTTTAAAGTAAAAGCAGCGAATATCTTGTTTCAGCAACATAAACAAAATGCTGCAAATACATTTTCTGTTAAGCCACTCTTTAGTTACTTAAGTATAAGGTTGGATGGTTTCATCTATACCAAATAATTATCTTTTGAAAGTATTTTCCTAAATATTGTGTGTTAAAATCAGAATTTATAAAGTAACTAGTAAATGTAATGGAGTAAAAAGTACAACATTTGCTTGCAAAATATAGTGGAGTAGAAGTTTAAATGACTATAAAATGAAAATACTCGGGTAAAAGTGCCTCACATGTGTATTTAAGTACAGAACTTGAGTAAATGTACTTGGCTACTTTCCAGCATTGCACATAAAGCAAAATTTCTCGGCACATTGATGTCAAACATATCTTTGAGATGTGCTCTGAAGCGAGAAGAGGTGTTTGAATGACGCTGCGACGTAGCGCAAGCTACTTAAAGGGTGGGTGGATTCCCTGACGTAGACGTCAAGATCACCAGCCAATCAGGATTGGCGTAATGAGATTGATGCTTCTGTTTGCATACGCGTTGAGGCGCATCCCATAGTGAGACATCGAACGGAGTGTTATAAATGAGAACTACAGTTTTTTTTTTCATAAAAAGAATTTATTATAGTGACATATCTTTTGTTACATAAAATCTGCTACAGCAAAGTATATCCCCCTTGCAAACACAAGTAAATATAGGTGGGAAAAAACGTGTCAGCCTTTTAAATGATGTGCACAATATCCCACAAACTAAATACAGACACATTTCAGATTATTGATCCCATACTGGCATGTGTGACTAGCTACAAAGAAGTCATTAACTGATTTCCTTCAGTCAGGAGTGTGAAGTGGTTCAGGGAAAAATGCCATCATTTACATCAAATATGACAAACATTATTACACACATGGGATATAAATGACACATAAGAAGAGCTGTGGATTTCCTACATATGTTTTATGGGAGGATTTATACACAGGCAGTTTGGATTGAAACATGCTGAATTCCCAGTTTTCAAAGTTTTTCCAGATAAAAAATGTCATAAATCCTGCAATTACATTCTGTTCATCCTTCAAACTTGGAAAATAATGTTGGACACCCTTTAATAAAAGGTCATTTCAAGTCAAATAAAGAAAGGAAAAAAAGAATTAAGACAAATAATAAAATAAGTTAAACTAATAGGCTACAATTTTATATAGGCTTGAGTGGCATCACTGTGTTAAATATTTTCATTTTATTTTGAATAAGGGCAAATAAAAAAAGCATGGTACAAATAAATAATCTATTATATTAACTGTTCATAGCACTTTTCTGAATACAACAGTTGACGTTTTCTTATATATTCTGAGAACTTTGTGAGTTTAAATAATTAAAAATATGTTTTAGAATACATCTCTAATTTAAATATAAAATAGCATAATAAACAGTTGTGCCTTTAAAATGAAATCAGGGCTAAATAAAAAATCACATCATGTGCTCAATATATGAATAAAAGTTCAGGCATAGTCAATTACAATATACATCAGTACCTTAAAAAAAGGATTCAGCCACCAAACCTTTTCACATTTGGTTGTCAAAGATTGTTGAACTAGATTAAATTGCATTGTTCATCTACATACACTTGAGCACCATGTCAAATAATGATCAACGTTTCAGAAGACTTAAGAGATGTTAAATTGAAAGACTGTCAATGATGCATTATTGTTTGCAACAAGAAAACAAACAAAAACTTTGATTTCCCCTTCAACCCTGAGTGCCCGACCTGCAGGAATGACCTCAACATCTGACCCCCCCGAGGACATCAGAGGATCGCAGGAGCACTAAGGACTTTTCTGACATCTGGAAGTTTAACAAGTGGACACCTTGGCTTTGTAGGTATTGAACCTTTCACAAACAGATTGTATGATAACCTATTAAAAACACTAAGTCAACCTGTCACGCAGTGAGGAGTTTGCAGAAAATGAAATACATTCCAGCAGCAAGGAAGGAGCAATGTGTCAGAACTCATAGGAAATGAAGAATGGTGCTCAGTATAGACAAATCCCTCATACAACCTAGATTTGTGTTAAAGGGGGGAAATATGTATTAAATATGTTTAGACAACAACTTAAAAAGGAGTGATTTACAATGAAAAGTTACAATTTTCTTCAAAAGCCAGAATCTAGAAATGTCTTTGTATGTTAACGTTCTCTTACTGACCTGACCCAGCCTGAGCAATGTTGCAAGGAAGAATGAGCAAATATTGCTCCATCACAGTGTACAAATTGGTTAAACATGATGCAAAGAGACTACAAGCTATAGTTGAGGTAAATATATGTTCCAACAAAGTGATGCCCAAGATGAATGAATACTTATATAGGTTATGATATTTCAGTTTTCTGTTAACATTTCATGGTTAATGGTATAGATTTGCTTTAGTGGGATTATGCTGGGGAATATGTCACTCAGATAAACATTGCCTATCTAATGCTCCAATGTCACAGGCCATGACACAAACACAAGAAAATAACAACAAAAAGATGGGAAATCTTTCAGGGCACTATACGCTTGTTGTGACACTGCTGTACAAACATAACATGCAAACGTAAAAATACAATTAAAACAAATATGGCAGTAACATAATGTCTTTTGAGTGCTATTTCAAAGCAACATTTTAAAACTAAATTGAAAAGCAACCCAGAATGGACATTTGGGACCAACACTTATTTGCATTTACTACAACATACTCTCAAGAAAATGTTTTACATTTCAGCTATTTAAAGACGCCATGTCCATGCACTTCATACAGTTCTGGCCGTATAAAGGACAGGTGACCTGTTGTGTGGAGTAACTACTCAAATCCCTTCCGTTTTACTCTCTCGTGAAACCAAGTTGTACCTGAAAAATATATAATTCTGTTCCTTTCATATAATACCACTCTATCTAAGATGAAACCAGATACGGATAAAGAAAACCTATAATTGAGTTGAATCAGCGCTGACACGTTTCTGCTCCATAATAACACCTGTCACTGTTAACCCATCTCTTCAAGGATTCAATGCCCGAGTGCTGAAACTCTGAAACGTCAAGAAGCCAGCATCAGTGATACTGTTTCTTCAATAAACACTAGTTTCTTTGTTGGAAATGTGGTCATGCTTTAACAACACAAAATCTTATGTCTCATATATGTATCTTTCTAGATGCAAAAAATACAAGGATCTAGGTCTTAAGGACACCAGAATGATGAATATTGTTATGTGTTGAAGTGTCCGTGATTAATCACAAACAGAACCCTGAATCACACTCAGGTATGTAACAGATAACAGGCAAACATCTATTTTAGAAATAAATTTAAAAATCCTTCTATTTTCCCAAAGCTTAAATCACAATATGTGCAATACCAGCTAATACAATCAATCAACCAATCAACCAATCAACCAATCAATCAACCAATCAATCAATCGATCAACCAATCAATCAATCACTCTTTGTGCCATTTGAAAAAGGGCATTCAATTATTTTAGATTTTTATGTTGCTTTTGAATTAATTATTTGAATTGAATCATTAAGGACGGAGGCTATTCAAAAGTGCCAAACGTAAAAAGAGGAAAGCAAAAAGACAGAAGATGAGCACGTGGTCTAGTATTTATGTGTCGCAGCACGAGGGGTGTCTGCATAATGTGCCTGTGTATAGGTTAGTGCTAACTGCACGCAGGATCATGGCAAGAAGGACCTCATTCAGCTGTGTGGGATGAAGGAACGAGGCATTTGTTTTGAACACGTGACGGCCTCAGTTCCACCTTAACCCTCAGGAGAGTGCAAATATCCCGGAGCACGTGAGCCCTGATGGGACTCCTGCCCACTCACTAGAACTCAGCAAACTCTTTTGCACACTTTTCTGTTTGCGAGACACGAATGTCCTCCTCTTCGTAGTCGTCAAAGTTGCTGGTGTCGCCTGGTCCTCTGCACTTTGGCAAGAAGGGGGCTTCAACCTAAGAATGAAAACAAGAAATTGTTTTTTGATCATTATTTTTACCGAGGTCACACTAGGGCTGTTGTTTATTTACTGTGAATAAGATGCAGATGACAGCTTCAAAAGGTAGGAAGTCGCCATGCCGGTAGATCAGAATGAATTATACTTTGGTGCTCAGGGTTTTCCGTTAAATGGAAAGATCTAATAATGTTAAGCATGTCGATACTGACAAGGGTACTCAATGTCTGATTAAGACCTGTGTATTTGTCAAAATGTGTAAACAAACGAGTAAAAGGGATTCAGAGTTTAAATTAGCCTCGGCCTTCAATTTGAGCTTTACGGTTTGTGTATGATTTTTATATGATTGTTTATCATATTTACTAAAGAACTAAATGATGAACAGTAACAGATGTGTCATCAGAAACATGTAATATCACAATAAAATCATACCTTTCTCTCATAGATGGCAATCCAGTCTGTTGCGGCGAACCACTTGTGATTTTTGATGTCATTCACACCATTCTTCAGGTTGCCAAATCTCTTTGTCAGGTCGACCTGGAGGAGGTTTCTCAGCAGATCCTTCAGGTCAGAGCTAAAGTGAGAGGGGAATCGTACCTACAGGAGCAGAAATAGCAGGGCACTTTGGATTAACAAGCACAATCTATATAAAAACATGTGTGAAAGCCGCCTATTTATTATAACATACTTGGTTACATATAAAAAGCAATACTAGAGAAACAAAGGCAAGTTGATACTATAACATACTTGGTTACATATAAAAAGCAATACTAGAGAAACAAAGGCAAGTTGATACTTGTGGTTTCAAGGCAGCGGCATAATGACAATATTATATTTAAACTTAAGGCTGTGTGTCTCGGTGTGTGTGTGTGTGTGTGTATCTCTGCATACCTTGCCAGACACAATCTTTTCGTAGATCTGGATAGGCTGATCAGCAAAAAAGGGAGGATAACCAGCAGCCATTTCATAGGCGAGAACTCCAAGGGCCCACCAGTCCACAGCTTTGTTGTAGCCCTGGAAGAGTCAGAAACCGAAATAAAAAAACCCCCAATATTTCCAAAAGACTGTAGGCTTGCCTCAACCTTAATGTTGACTAACTATCTTGGATAATGACTGATGATGACAGTCAGAAAGGTTTGAGACATACAGAGCAGTCAGGTATTCACAAAGAGAGACCGTTTTTCCGTTGTGTTGGCTCTACACTTAGCTTTAGTTTGTGGGTTTTTACATTCACATCATATGACTAGTAACTGTATCCCTGAAATCGTCAGCCAATTTTAATACACAAAGTAGTTTGACGCACTAAGGTCTTTTGGATTTTATGGCTGATGTAAATGTATACATCCTAAATCATCACCAGACAGTTGTTTCTGCTAGGCGTAAACTGCAGCTAGCTACAAGTGTTGCTAGTTTCAAATACTAATTTGTGAAGTATGAATACAAAGATAAACCATGTAAAATCTATTGTGCTGGAATTACTGTTTTAGTACTTTCTAAATCTAATGTCATAACATGCATGCAGGCTACATTGGGTATAACCGTTTCACCTTGCTGAGGATGATCTCTGGAGCCAGGTACTCAGGAGTCCCACACAATGTCCAGGTCCTGCCTTTTACTCTTTTGGCAAAGCCAAAGTCTGTGACCTAAACATAGAACGATAAGAGCACAATAAGAAAATAAACTAAGGACAAAATTAACATGTACTACATTTACGTCTATCAGCACAAGCTCACGCCAGATTTTCAGTTTAAAAAAGAAAATCCAAACCAAAGTTTTTCGTTCATAAAGCCCGCGTCACACTGTCCCGAAATTGACACCCGATGGACACACAAATATGGAATTGTGAATTTCGCACGAAGATGGCCCCGAACCACACACGAAGGCAACATTTACATTACATTTAAGACATACAACTGCAACGAAAGTAACACAAACAATTATTTTAAAGTACTATGATACTGTACTGATATTTTCAGACTTTGTTCTTTACTTTATCCGTCTTTATATGTAGAAGATATTAAGTTTTCTCCGTCATGTTGTTTCCATAGCAACAACAACTTCCTCGCCTTCAAAATAATATATTATATCCTTTTTAGTTTCACAGAACAAGAACACAAATTGGGTTATTTACATAAAATGTTTACATGATTTTGTTGTGCAATAAAACAACCAGATGGACACACGATAAAGGAAATGTTCAAATTCGGCTCTGATCGTAGCAACATCGGGCCATTCGTGAGGGCATCTTAAGCCATCTTTGGCATGCCAAAGATTTTGCCACCGCTCCCGAAGTTGCTGCCGGAGCCTGATAAATTCCACCGGCGGTCATACGATGGCTTAAGATGCCCTCACGAATGCCTTACGAAGGGCAAAATGGACACACGAAGGCAACACGAAAATGAACCTTCACAAGGTCCTTCGGCAATGCTTTGTGATGCCAAAGATGTTGCCACCGCTCCCGAAGTTGCTGCTGGAGCCTGAGAAACCACCGGCGGTCATACGATGGCTTAAGATGCCCTCACGAATGCCTTACGAAGGGCAAAATGGACACACGAAGTCAACACGAAAATGAACCTTCACAAGGTCCTTCGGCAATGCTTTGTGATGCCAAAGATGTTGCCACCGCTCCCGAAGTTGCTGCCGGAGCCTGATAAATTCCACCGGCGGTCATACGATGGCTTAAGATGCCCTCACGAATGGCCCGATGTTGTTACGATCAGAGCCGAATTTGAACATTTCCTTAATCGTGTGTCCATCGGGTGTCAATTCCGGGACAGTGTGACAGGGGCTTAAACCATTTTTTCCACTCAACCCTCAAAGTCACAACAAACATTTGCATTCAGTTTATGTTTTTATTTTACAACGTTTACTCGAACTGTTTACCTGGATGTACCCATGTTGATCTATGAGCAGGTTCTCAGGCTTCAGGTCTCTGTAGATGAGGTCTAAGGAGTGAAGGTACTCAAAGGTGAGTACTATCTGAGCTGCATAAAATCTTGCATGGTTTTCACTGTAAAAAGGACAGTCAAGACAGAAATATATATAAACACAGTTCTCTTCTGAGTGAAGGCGCAAACTCAATCATTTAGAGATATGGTTTTCACAGCTTTGTCCAGCTATTAGTGTCAGATAAAGTGCTCATGATAACAAATAAAACAAAAATAAAAGCATTAATGTGTGCTCTATACCTGAACCTTCCAATACGTCTGAGGTGTGAGAACATCTCACCACCCGGCACGTATTCCATCACCATGTAGAGGTTCGAGTTGTCCTGTTTATTAAAAAGGAGAACAAAAACTAAGTCCAGGGCAAAACCACTGCTAACATGTTAAATAATAAGAGTTCTTCACGTAGGTAAATGAAACACTGTTTACAATGTAAGTATTATGGGGGTGCCCATTCTGTTAAGGTTGTTGTTACATCACATGAAGTTGCCTGGCTATTTGTACTGTAACAGCTTTAGCACTGTGACAGGTGAACACAAAAGTTCTGTTAGATTACTTTTGGATGTCTTGATGAAACATATAAACACAGTGGTAATGTGGTAACCATGTAGTTGGTTGCAGGAGGAGGCGTCTGAATGTACCTTGAAAGCGTACTCCAATCTGACGAGGAAGGGGAAAGACACGGCCTGTAGTATTCTCTTCTCATTTAGTGTGTGTTCTATCTGCTTCAACTTCACCACCTGAAGAGAAAACAAGGCACAATATTATAACTAAGTGTATATTAAGCAAAAGACATTCTAATAATTGAGTGTATTGCATTATTTTCCAGTTCAATCAAAGCAAAATCTAAAGTAAATAAAAGAGAGCTACGCCAAATAAAAAAGTTAATAAACACACATGTTTTGCTAATTTCCACCCAAATATGAAGGATTTATTTTCAATGCATTCCATTATCTTGGATTGGACAGTCAGTTTCCCTTCATTTCAGTCAAATGTACAAAGCAACTTGTACAGACTGAAGACGTAATAAACCAGAGATTCAATTCTATTCTTTTTCAGTTTGACTTTTTACACTGCAAGATGGTTAAAAGTGCAATTTTTCTTTCTATTCACGCATTTGTGTTGACAATCTTTGTATCTGGTTGGCGTTTAATCTGAACTCAACCTATCATTAAGGACATTTTTTTCTAGGGCCTTGGTTTAAAAAGGACTGTCAGACATGAACACAATCCAGTTTAACTGCATTACCACACACTTATATAACAGCTGGCTAAGACAATTAATGAAATACCTGCTGTGTCTCAGGCATGTTTTTCCAATTGAATCTGCATAGTGAAACATCTGAATGGAAAACAATGCCGCCCTGGGATACAATACATTCACGTTTAAAAACCTGTAAATTGCATAGCATACTTTGGGAAATGGTCAGCACCTATGTCAAATGAAACTCACTCCCACAACCCATCAGAGACTGCACTGACCTCACCACCTTCAAACTGGCTTTTAATGTGTGATTGTTGTTTTATTGCTAGATTTTAATGGGATTTTTACGATATTTAATTGTTGTTCTTTTTTTTGTTTTTACTACCTCTGTAAAGCGACTTTGAGCACCTATAAAAGCGCTTACGAAATAAATGTATTATTATTATTACATTATTAGTAGTAGCAAGTGGGATAAAAAGTCAAAAAACTGATTAATAAATAAATGAAAAAAGACATGTGTTGGTTATAAAAGTTCCCCATACAAAGTGTGAAGAAGAAAACAGAACAAAGAAAGTCAGACATATTTATCTTTTAATTCCACCATGTGAAATTCAGAGAAGCAGTGCACCGCGACATGAGCAGCCCATAGAGGACACACTTACCTCCTCCCACAACTCTCACATCAGTATTTAAAATCGAAACTCTAATGTGAAGCGCATCTGAGGTTTTCAACGATAACACGCTCTTAGTGCATGAGAGGAAGCGTACCATTTCCTTTTACAAGATGCACAGCATTTATGTAGTTCTAAAATTGCATGCAGGAGTTTGCTTTTCACAGACTATCCAGATTTACAACACTTGACTTTGAGATTGGTGAACAGTTTTTCTTTTAAGAAATACACTTACTTTCTGTTTGTCCAAGATCTTCATGGCGTAGAACTGATTTGATTCTTTATGTTTGACAAGCATAACTCGCCCGAATGAGCCAGTGCCCAGAGTCTTGAACCTATCGAAGTCATCCAGGCCAGTTGTGCTCTGTGGAAAGATTATCAGTCAAAGTGAAGACAGAAACATTGTGATTTGAATGCTTCCTTTTTTGCTTATCAGTTTCGTGTAATTGCCTCTCTAATCGATCCAACTGGAACAACATTTTGCCTCCGTGAAGCTCAGAGTAAAAACACAAGATGAATGGAGATTTCGTAATCAGTAAGCATTTCAGTCAACAACATTTAAGGCAGGAAGTGGTTAAACAAAGTGTCTATGTGTCATATTTGTGTTCACTCATGGAAAAGTCCAGTGAGTTAAATGAAATTAAAGTTTGAATTCTTTAAAGAAAATTATTCACAGGGAACAACTTACCTGTGGTGGACTCTCCCATGTTCTTAAAAAATCTTCTTTGGCTTTAGCTAAGAACTCTTTCACTGTAAAAAGAGACACAAGTGTGACTTATCGACAAGTATTTTGGTTTTCACAGAAGTTCAATTAACATTTTAAGGGGAAAAAACAAACTGGGGCACTTTACCATGTTTGGGAAAATAAACAAAGGCAGTTCATATTTTCAGGAAAACAAAGGCATTTTAAGGTCAGGCAAATGTCAAGTACTGGGGATGCAGGACTTTACTTAAAAAAAACTGGAACAAAATAAAATCTCCTTAAAAAAAGACTTAAAACCACACGTAGGATATTCTAATTCTTAAAGCGATGCAAAGAGCTTTTTTGTGGACTTTACAGAAATGGCCAATTCGTAGACAAGCTATTCTGCATCCCTTTCAGGAGAAGGTGGAAGTAAAGTGGGGAAGGCAGTAATACTGGCAGAGAACAAAATGCAAAATGCAAAACACAACTGAGGCCACAGTGCAGGCAGTAGAAAGAGTGCATTGTGAAAGTCACAGCAGACATGAGATGTCCAAAGTCACAGAAGGTATCTAATGTCTAATTGGTGTTGCACTTGGTATGAAGTTGCTAATTTAAACAATACCTGGCATTGAAGGACTATGTGGAAGCTGTATGTTAACCGGCTACCCAAATGACCTCAATCTTTGTAATATTAAGATGAAGGATAATACAAGCCCGGTAGGCCTAAACTGCTGAAAGACTATCCTCTGTGACTAAGGATTGCTCATGGAATAATTAGCATACCAAAAGTCTCTACAGTTCACCAAGGAGTTTGCAGGAACATTCACCCACATGGATGGAAATGATGGAGAAGAGAAAGAGAGGAAGACACATTTATGAAGAGCTTAAAACAAGAACATTTGAGATTCAAGTGGTTTAAATGAAACAAACAACAAAATGACACTGAAGAAGACAATTAACACCTGAATACAATATTCTACATTGTAACAACACCACTATTTGGGTTGGAAAACTTCTATAAAAGTCTATCACTAAACATGAAAAAAATGGCTAAAACTAAGTCATAGAGTTTGAAATCTTATCAATTACATCAGGTATTCCTCAATATGTATACCTCATTTTCTCTTTTAAGTTTCTATTTCTTGACAGAATTGGAGAGGTTTTTCATTATCATACACTACACATCTGTCACAAAGACTATAACAAAACAGTGATTGTAAGGACATTGTAACAAGCACACGTAAAACACATTTTAAACTTGCAGCACACACGAATGAAAGGACAAAGATGAAGCAAGCGACTGAAGCACCACAAATGGCTTCCCCTACAAAGCTGCTTAATACGGATGTCTCTGGTGAATCAGGAATGTGTGCCTAAAGAACCAACAAACTAATAATCAACCATGTATATTACAAATAAAAACGACTTAATCAAATGTAAACCAATTAACAGACCTGAATAGTTTAGAATAGTTTAGACTCAAACAGCAATTGGGTTATTATATACGCTTCATCAAAATAGTTTTCCGACATACGAGAACTAGAAAAGCAAGCCGAGACTTGTCTTGCTCGAAGCTACAGATCTGTGTAAAAGCAACACATCACACTTACTGAACTTATCCCACATGATGGTGAACTCAGAGATATGAGGCACCTCACTCTCTAGTCCTTTTTGCTCTTGGCTACTCTTACGACATCTATGGAAAAGGCGGCTTGCGAAGGATTGGTCCTTTCCCTGGGCCATTTGAGACAAATTCCCTGAGGCGCGCGGCACGAAAAGGGCTCACAGGCAAAGGCAACTTTTCACCCTCAAGACCAACGAGTGATACGAACTTCCTGTATGTAGCCGAGCGCACTGCAATGCTTGGCTAACCACATAAAGTCGAGCTTCCTGTTCGAGTACTCTGCTTCAGTTTCAGCGGACAACTGTATGTTTACTCTTTTACATGGTGTGGAAAACTCTAATAGGTCTCCAATGTGACGTTGCTTTGACAAAGGTATACAAAGGAAGCGAAGCACACAGGCCAGCCTCCTAAGATTATGTCAGAAAAATCACACAGCTATGGTGCATTCAGAGTGCTGATAAGGAACAGTAGACCTGTAACACCAACTGACTGACTTAGAGGGAAGTTACCTCAAGGTTATCCTGCTCTCTGGTGGTAAACTTTAACAATGCAGTGCTTCAAGGAGCTCTGCCCTGTGCTTAAAAGTCAACCTTATGAACAAACCCTCATCTAGAAAAAAAAGTTGTTTTCCACAAATGTGGGTCTGTTTTGTACTGACAATGTTATTGTACACAACCCTCAGCCCCTCCCTACATAAACTACAGGTGGCTTGAGGCTGTAAAACTTCTGGACTAATGCCAATGAGAAAGCAGGCCAAGATCAGGGCTCCAGACAGACAGTTTAGTGGATTAGTTTGGTCATTACTGGCAAATGCTCACTAGACACCACAGAGTGCCCTCCGGTTTCTGCTTTCAAATGATTGATGGAGCACTTCAAATTGCAAAATTGATATTGGACAGGTGTAATTTGACTAGGACGGGCGACCTTTCCTCTAAGTTATAGCATCAAAAAAACAAGTTAATGTCACTGTAAGAAAGCAGAAATAGAAGCATAACAATGTAATTTACAGTTAACTTGTTGGTTGAATAGAAAATGTTTTAAGCCATTGTGTAGGCCCTAACCAAAAAAACACTTGTTTATCATTAACATCAATAGCACATTTTAAACACATTAAGCAGCCAATTTGTCTGCCAGTCGTTATACTTGGCATTGAATAGGCCTTATATGTAGCTTAAGTAGAAACCAATGTTTGCTGATGTTATCATGCTCCAGGCAGCTGAAAAAAACAGTTTGGAAATTAAACATGGTGCATTGATAACTTCAGTTTTACAGAGTGAACATTAAGAACATCTTTCATTTTGTTGATTCAATTATTTGTATCTGCATGTGGGAAACCTTCAACAGGATTATTAGGAGGACCTCACTGTCTGCTCGAATGTCACTTTCAAGAACTAGGTAGCTGCATCATCTGTGGCACCAGGTGGAATAAGCAAACAGACACCATTACGAGGGAGCTAACACACCTTGTAGAGTACGATACCAATAATGGTTATTCTCTGCAGCCCATGTTACTGTACTGACTGCTAACACTGGACACTGCTAAAGGCTCCCTGACTTCATGATAAGGTTAGATGGCTAACAAGCTAGCTGGATGGCTTTCAGGTACTCACCGCTTTCTTGCTCGTTGCCTTTCTTGGCAGTTGCTGCGTTTCCCATCGTAGGAAGACAGGGCGATGCACAGCTGTCTAGGAGCGATGATGGTGGCCGTTAGCTAACAGGGTCCTCCGTTAGCTAGCTAACAAATATCAGCTTGTGCTAGCGGGTTGGCTAACAACAACATTAATGTCTTCTCCTTGTGGACCGAACCTCGACGTGCTTTGCTAACCGCCCAGATGATCGTTATTTACAATGTCCTCTGAGGTTCAAGTATTCCTCCGCTGGAATGAAAACATGATCCAGACTTTTCACCTCTGCCTGCTGTCGTCTTGTGCTGCGTTCACGTCATATGGGAATACCCACTGAACCGAATTAATGGATGAAACGCAGCTTTCAAGGGCCGGTTGGAAATCATATACTCATATATCACGTGTACTGTATGACTAGTGATCAATCGGTGGCTAAAATATAAAGTATATTGATATTTGGATTTTAGATTGTTAAGATTTTTATTTAGTTTTTAGTTTGTATTCTACTCATGGCAATTATTATAAAACAAAACTAGTATACTTTGTAAGCTTTTTTTTAATGGAAAGGGGCAGGGAGAAGAAAGTCTTATTTTACCTGCCACTTACTTATTATGATGAGCAGTGTAAGAGGTGCACTGCATACTGTATACAATTGTAGATGGACATTGTGGCCATCACATGCAAGGAAGTCACGACTTTCACGATATTTTTGAGTTGTTTGGTCACTTAAAAACATCTTTCATCATTAAAGTTTGACAGGCCATGGATGAATGCAGCTTTGAAATACCACCACTCATAAAGTTATTTCGTTCATTCATTCCATTGTTTATTTCCAAAATAACAAAACCACCCTCCCAGTATCTACCTTATTATAAATATCCCGTTTAATCCTACAGTTAGGAATTGGCATCGAAAAATTGAGTGATGAACATCTTGCGAGTTATGGTTTTTGGCATTTCCCACACGTCTTGAATGCAGCATTTTTGACAGAACGGTTACAAACAACTTTGCGCACACAGGAAGTGATGTAATCCTCAGAGTCAAGTGATTTTGGAAGAAAACATGCAGACCAGAGCCTCTGATGCAGACCATTGACACCGCGCAGTTATGCGGGTGGAATTGAGGACACAAAAGAAAAAACATTTATAAAAAAAAAGTGTATCCTTGTGGTGAGAGGCATTAGCAGTCACTATGAACTTTTCAATTCTTCATTTAAAATTAAATAGTAAGTGACTACATGTTCATCTTACCAAAAATAAACAAAGGCCAACTCTAAACAGTAGGTAGTCTTATTGAAACTGACTTATACATGTTTTGTGCACACATGCACTGTCAAATGCAAAATGTCAAAAATGACAAACACACAAATTCGTTGAGTCAGGATGCCCATATCCTAAAAATATTTATTGTCTGAGTGATCAAATAAATCAATCAATATATTAAAACCGTATATAAAATATGTCTCTGCACATCTGATATACCCCTGTCTCTTTTTTATCGTTTAATTTGTATACTATTTATCTATTTGTATAGCCTACTGTATCTGTATTATGCATCTATAAGCTATCATTTTAAATAATACATTTTCAACTTCCGTTTATTATTGACTTAAGCTTCAATGCTGCTCAAATTGTGACGAATTGCCAATAAATCTAAAACTTTAAGAAATGCGGACTTCTTTTAAATCCAAGACCGTTTGTGACATAGCTTTAAATTATAAATAACTTTTTAACTTGTGTGTTTTTTCCTGTTTTTTATGCTCGTGTCTTTTTACAGTATGGAGGACTTTCTGCATAAAGTCTGCTAAATCTTTATATTGTTGCATCGATTCAGTTGTCTTGTGTCTTATCTGTCGGAGAGAAATCATATATTATTGTATTTTATTTGTATCATACCTTTTACCTCCTTGTGTCTCTTAACCTGTTCACATTTAATATTTTGCTGCACGTACCTGCAAAGTTTTTAACATCTAATCTGAGGGGAATTTCTTGTTGTTTATTTGTAACTTGTGATGTGTGCCATTTTGAAAAGCACTTTGAGCAACATGTGTTGTATGAAAAGTGCTATATATAAAGCTTTATTATAATTATTATTAAATAAAATAAATGTGTCTCATCTTGCTTAGAAAAAGAAATAAAAAATCTGAAAATATAAGTAGGAAAGCAAGAATCCGGCACAGTTTGAGGAATATGTATGCGACGCGTTATTAATCGAACAGGTGAGTGGCACCTTATGACCTCTGAGCAGGACGCACCCATAATCTGCAGGGTTGTTTTTTAGCACCATGGTCAGCGACACGGTTGCTAGGTAGCTTTCCTGTGTTTGCATCAGCTAGTTGTGGCAGACGAGCTGCATCGAAACCTGACCCAAAAGTGTTCGAAATATTCCTTGCGGCTTTGGTAAGCCTTTTCTTGCCCCTTATAGCTAGTTACGAGTTGAATATAATATGTGCTGACTTTTTTTGTACGTTTTACAGTACACCAAACGTCATGCTATTACCAAATTGAGAATGCAAACTTCAGCACTTCATTCAGCTACCCCCTCTCTTAGGGAACGAATGGTTTAGCCCATGGACTCGCTCCAGCACACAAGAGGAATACAAGATACTGATTTTTTTGTCTGTCAACCAACGTCAGTTTTCAGTAGTAACACAACTTAAACACTGCCATATTGTTTATTATACACTCAGGACAGGGCTGTTTCTTTAAAAGAGGCCCCAGTGTCGCACTTAACGGCGTCTGTGTCGGTTGGATGTGACCAGCAGGGAGCTGCACTGCCTGGAATAAACAAGGTAACGTTAACGGGCTACTTCGCGTTCCCCTCTCCATCCTTTGCTAGGTAGTGCAGCTAAGCTAACTGTAGAGTAGCCCAGGGTCATCATGTTCCTTCTGAATCATTATACTGCATCTCATTCAGGAGTGTTTATTTGATTTCGATGTTACATTAACTAAAAAGGCCCTCGTTCACAGTGCAGTTAAACGTTAACGTTGCGGTAACGCTGCATTTGATTGAAAGCAACATTGCCAGATTGCTTCCTTGTGTGATCCTTCCACCTGACTTACAGTACACTAGTGGCTAGGTGAACGTGTGCTAACGCTTGCTAGCAACTTATTGCATACACCTGCTTACGTTTTGTGACATTACATTTTGTCAAGCAACAACAATATCCCGAAATATCTTGATATCCAAGATATAACATGCGTGTTTAAGAAATACATCTTGCACCAATCTTAAAATACAGACACTATTTATTAAAGGGGATGGCCTACTATCCTTACAGTGGTCTGGGACATACCATATTGCTTGCTTTTCTGTGACAAGCATATGTCTCTCGCTGCTTAGCTTCTTAGCTCAGGCTAGCTTTGCATCTGTCTTGGTATGCAATACTTTAGCTGGCGTTTAGCTGTGGATGCTCATACCCTGGTTAATTACACGAGGGAGGTTGTTTGAAGAGCCGTTTGATTTAGAGGTCTGTTTGTAGTATTGTGTGCCACTTAGAAACCACATGCTGATAAAGCACCCTAGAGATGACCAATTCCTAAAGAGCAAGGGGATTACATAATAATAACAGCCTAACATATGCTTGGATGTATGGATGGCATCCTGCGTCCTGGACCTATTCTAATAGATAAGGCCAGCGCCATATAGATAGAATATTCTATCTAATATAATAATAATATAATAATATAATAATAGTAATTATATCTAATATTCTATCTATATGGCGCTGGATAAGGCCAATAAGAAGGATATGATATTTACAATATTTTATTTTCATTCAGACTACATAACGCATTCTGCAATTGTTATTAAAGTTAAAGTTACTACAGGATTATAGTGCTTATTCCAGCACAGCACCTACAGCATCAGAGCCAGTTGGTTTTTATTTGATTTATTATCTTTTATCGTTATAATAATAATGATACAAATACATACAAAAACAAACCAAATGGCCTACATGTTGTAGGTGCACTGCTGCAAACAGCACAAAAAACAAAGACTCAACTCAATTCAAAGACAGATTCATTTCGACAGGTTTACATTTTTGAATGACATGCCAAATGCGCTACAGTTCATTTAATGTTTGTGTCAGCAGCTGGTTTGTTTGACCTGGTAGGCTTTGCTTGACAGGGGCATTCTCTTTTATCTGGCAATTGTCACACTAGCTTAGGTATACATTTAAACCAAGGTGTTTGATCAACATTTGAAACCCTTTTTATATGTGTTGTTGCACTGTCCACATTTCAAGCATACTTGGTTATAACAATGCATTGCTTTAAAACAAAATTCCCATTGCAATCGTAAGTTATTTGCCCTTCTTTGTCTTACAGAAAACAAGTTCAGGCAAGATTATAATTATTATAAATTATACACAAAAGTGGAATTTTACAATGGGACATTTTGCCAGTATCACTTTAGATTATTTCTGAAAAAGTTAAGATTAGCATTCTGTTGTTTGTTGGTGTATTTCAGTATCCCGTGGGCTGACATCTCCCACACTAGCTCCTACTTATCTGGGAAAAGGCAGGAAGCCAGAGATGGGTCAGTGGTTGGAGCTAAGTTTAGATCCACTGGCAATTCTACACCAGATACTTTCCTGTGAGAGTAATCCGCAAACTCAGCTATCATTTTTCACTGGAGGACAAAGTGGTTGTAGCTGCAAAATAGATAATGAAAGGAAATAGTTTCTTGTAAAACATACTGCATTTTTGTGAACATTGGCATTGTGTCTTTAGAGTGTAAGAAAATGTATAGTAAAAAGGATTTGTACTATTTAAAAAAAAAAAGCTCTATTTTCTAATTGAAAAGTATTTAGTTTACATTTGCTTTTCAAGGATGTGTAATAGTGCACCATGTCTTCTTCTTAGCTAGTGTCTTTGTCCGTTTGAATGGTGTTACATACCCTCAGGTCCCTGCACTGCTATACTATAGTGGCAAGAATGGCGCATACTGCATGTACAGAAAATAACTTGTGTCTGCAAATCCTGCTGACATAAGGCTAAGTGGTGGTTCCCCAAGCCTTTTTGTATTGATTCTGTATTTAACGACTGCTTTCAAGATGTAGTTTCATGTTAGGCAGGGAGAACATAAAACAAACCCTCCAGGGAAGTACTGCTGGCTGTTGAAGGGACTTGTGTAATAGGTGTGACACCGCTTGTCATAAATAAACAGTCTGCTGTTTTGGTAAAGCTTTCTTCCTTGGCACCCTTATTGTAAAGCTATTTTTGCTGTCCTTCTGAAGTTGCTTTTGATATAAAAGGAAGTACCATTGTCTTAAGATAGAGGAATATGATAACAGTGAATATCTAGGAAGAGTTTTGCAATACTTGACTTCCGTATATATTAGTTTCAAAACATCTTTGTGATGTAGTTTAAATTCTGCAGGCCGAATAAATATATATGAGAAGGGTGGCGTACAGTAATGAGACACATGTATTAACAACTTGTGCTGGATAATTCGACAAACATGCATAACAACACCCTAAAACACAGACAGGCTTTTGTCATGCCTTTAGGGCTTGTGTGACAGACAGTGATGCAGATGAGCAGCATGAAAAGCTGACTCTCTACAATGAGGCCTTTCTGTGTTGTGTGTGGCAAAGGGGAAGTGCATGAGATCAGCATCATTAGGAGCTGGGCCTATTCAGCTCTTCTCTGCTGTTGTGGCGCTTTAGCTCACTCTGTTGGAGAAGAAACGTCACTGCACCGGAGGATTAACAGTAGATACAGCGTTTAGTGGAAGGGATTCAGTAAATATGTAATACTACACTGAAGGATTATTAATGATACTAGCAGCAAAATATATTGCAATTACATTCTTTCAAAAAATTGTTTGAGTTTGTTTTAATGTTGTATTCCCTTACATCTCTAAAAAGTATTAAAAGTTGATAAATCAATTTAGCGAAAATTAATGCTATTTAAAAAGTATCAAACGGCATTTTCCAAGGTATTACATTTTGTTGCTTGTTTTCGATAAGTATATACACATTGCCCAAAGAGGTTGTGTTCTACAGTTTGCCTGAATGTAATCATTGCGTAGGTGTGTAGTGTGATTCT